TTTGAAAAGTGTGTTTGTGAACGTGTGTGTGTATGTGTGTGTGTGTGTGTGTATGTGTGTGTCTGTGTCAAAGAAAAAGCGTGAGAGTTGGCAGTGTTGCGGGCTGGGAGGATAAAGTGAACTGATGCTCCAGATGGGAACATTAATAACAAGATTAAAAGAGGGATTCTTTGAGTTTCTGTCATAACGAATATTAATTACCACAGAGATTTGGCACCAAGAAACCTGACAATAAGACAGATATTTTGTTGTGATTAATACCTCTTCTATTGAAAAACACTTCCTCAAACAGCCTCGCCTGCTCTTATCCTGGAAGACAGTCTGTGAGGAGAAAGCACCTAGGCTTTTCCTCAGGAGAAGTCATATTGTTCTCACATAATATAAATTGATACAGGGCTCAAGGAGCTCCCGTAGCACTAAATGGCTTTGTGGAAACTTGGCAAAATGGGCCACAACTAGTCCCAGGTGCTGTATTCCATACCGAATGTAGCACAGACACTAATACCCAACAGACACAGGGAACCTGACAAATCATTACAAGACTATTACAAGATACTGCTGTTGGAAAACACTTTCCAACGGCAGTATCCACGAGCTGACATCACTTTATTTTAATGGAACAATGCTGATGCTCAGCTTTTGTATTAGGTGATAAAAAGCAGACGTTCAGTGTTCCGTTTTTGATAGTTTGTGCATTTCCATCGATTGCATTTCTTTTCTTTAAACCTAACTGTGACCCTGTTTCATGACTATTTGTTTTAATTAACCAATATTGTCATGCTAGGACTCTACACTGAGATGGTGATACATAAACTGCTAAACACGGAGACAAAACTCCTGACATTGTATAACTTCTGTTAATGAAACCTCATTCTACATTTCTTTCGACCCCCCACCCCCGCCCTTCTGATGGTGCTGAGGTTTTTTATCCATATTAAGACTGGCACTGTTTTTTATTTTATTAAAAAAATACCAATAACTTATTCTAATCTCTAACATATTAGCTGTAAATGCTGCTCTCTGAACACATCTGTTAAGAGAACTGGATACAACGCTCCCTGTCAGCCTTGCTGCCAATTAGTGTATTTCAATGTAAAAGTTCTCTGTGACCTAAAAGCATTTTCCCACTAGAATGCGGAACCAGTTGACAGGAAATATCTAACTGTAGAAAAGGTCAATTATTACTCTTTGTGTTATGACTTTTTCAAGCTGTGATTTTTCACGTGTGAAATTTTTCCAGAGCACAGAAAAGCGATGTATGTGTGATGTGCCAGGTTATAGTCATTTAGAACGAGTTCTCTGGGCATGTTGTCCACCACTGTTGGCAATTAAAACTACGATATTCATCTGCTAATTTGTTTACATTGAAAGTGACACAAACAATTGTGTAACAAGTGAAAAAATAGAGCAAGAAAGAGATGTACAGTGCCTCACATCCATATACAGCTGGCCAATCAGGACATGAAAAGGCGTGAATGCTGAATCATTCAGCTTTGAGAAGTTATAAAGATCAAGACTGACTCCCCCCATCCAGTGTCTGACAGTTGTAAGTGGAGAATTAACCAGTGCTATCTAACGATCCAACGCACTGATCAGACAGAGCATAAATCTAACTTTGACATCTATGCACTGAGCAGGAACATGCAGGCGGGGCCAGCAAGAGAAACATTAGTCCACATGTGCAGTGCACAGTGCAACCCCAGAACTAGAAACTTTTCGTGGCTTATGTGCTCACGGAGCTATTTTAATTAAAGTGAGTGGGCCGAGTCTTATAACACATCCAGGTAGCTGCTGCTGGGTTTATTCATCTCTGCCCTGCTGTTATTGAAGCCGTGGCTCCTTGGGTCACACATAAACTCGTGTCTTTTGTTGCACTGTGACATTTGAAGGCCTTCCTTTGGTATTGATTTAACTCCTAAAAATTCATATCTGTGTATTAAAGATACATGTTTACACATGTTTTTTTCCCCCCATGATAATATTCCCTTCCTACCTTGAAATGGCTTAGATGTAATTCTGCACTGCTGCTTTCCCTTGAAGGTGCAGAACTACGTAATTTCTTCACCGATTCCTCTGCTATGTAATGCAGCCTGAGCATACCAGCTCACTTGTGACTCCTAAACAGAATCCAGAAACCACTTCTGAAGATTGATAATGATACAAGAAGATTAACCTTGCAAGCTGACAAAAATTGATTTCTGAGGTTTGTTACATATGAACCCAGGAAGTCTGGATCCCTGTTTTTGAGATTGTCATCAATACGCTGGAGTTGCGAGGTGGAAATGCTCTGCCATGGCACTAACTTTTTATTTCACTCATAATAATCCAGCATATACTGTATATGCACATGTTAACAAGGTAAAAAAAACTTTCACTGGAGGGCATCTTTATGTGACAGACTTAGGTCTCAGGAAAAATGACATTTTTGAAAGCTGCTAAAACCAAAAATACTGAATAAACAGCATTGGATTACTTTTGTTTTTGTTGTTGTTTTGTTTCTTTCTTAGAGACTGCTGAATAAAGCTCTTCTCCAAGCCAGAGCTTTTAGTTATATGCTTTGTTCTAAAAATGTTTAAGCCTTGGTTCCAGTCTGTTGTCTTTATAGGGGCCAATTCATGTTTTCCTCATCTGTGTGCTCAGACCGACTTTGAAAGTGGACAGCAGATGTGCATGCGGTTCTGTTCATACTGCAGTAGATTTGTTACAGTCTGCTATGCAGGCAGTCACATTGCCCCTCAAATTGAACACAGAAAAACACACAGGACTCCCACGGATGTGTCTAACAGGCTGGCTGTGACTTTGCACTTTTTACAGGATATAGCAGCTTGTTACAGATTGCTGCTGCACCGTGTCAATGTGATTATTCCTGAGGGGTGCTGAGCACAGTGGGCGGACATAGCACAGGGCTTCTGGAGAAATAAGGACTTCCCACCTTGTTTGGGTTCCGTCAATGCAATGCGTGTATAAATCAAAGCACCTCCAAAGTCTGGCAGTGACTACTTCGATTACAACTCTTTCGATGATGAGTTATAAAGTTGTGGATGACGACAGATCTCCTTGTACTGACTCTCCTAGAAACAAGCATTTGTTTTAAGAACTGTTTGTTCTTCTGGTGCATGAGCGGTCGTCCCACTTGCAGTGCAGACAGTCCAGGCAGTCACAAAAATGTGGGCTGCATGTGGACATCCACAGAGGCGTCTGCAGACCCTTTAGGACTTTGGTGGATTGCGACATTTAGGTCACAGGTACCCTTTCAGACACAGATGTAAAAAGCATGAATTTGACTTGAGCATGTTAGCATGCTGACATTAGCATTGAGCTCAAAGTGAGCCCATCCTTACAGAATCACCAGTGTGACTGTGTTATAACTCTGTTTTATTAAACCTAACCTTAATTCAGAAACCTAAAAGTTTTCATTAAATATTTCTGGAATCTGCAATCTTCAGCTATTCTCTGTCCTTCTGGCTCTGCGTACTTGCTGCACAAATAAATTGCAGTTGGGATTTTTCCACTGTCTTTGTCTATTGGGTCTAACTATGTTATAAAGATTTTCCGCAGAGTTTTGGGAATTCTGCAGTGTCACTGTCCTCCTTTCCCCAGCAGGCTGCATGTCCTCCAGGAATAGGTAGATATAGCCAATATGCTAAGCTCAGGGGTTTAGGTTGCAGGTCATTTCCCAGTGGGATCAGCCGGCTCCTGCAGAGGGCTTGTGATAAGAGTGGATATTGGAAGCTATGTAAACCTTGTTAAGCTGCCCTTCCCCAGTGTGCAGGGGGGTAATCCTAAACACCTGGGCTAGTTAACTGGGATTTGGTAGGATTAGGGGCTCCACGAAGGCAAACCTGATCATGCTTCTGGTTAAATCCATTTCCATTCTTGTCTTTTCACATTCTCTTCTTTGTAATTCAAGCTCAGTTCGGCGGTTGCACAACAGTTACCTTTTCCACTGAGCAGTTTTATCTCTGCCCATATCACTTATTCATGCCTGAGTGCCAGATAAGTTTGGTTAGCCGGGGCTGGAACATTCTTTTTTGACTGAAGTTCATACTGAAATGTCTGTTGTTCGGCCCAGTGGAGGTTGTTTTTCAAAAGGCCTTATTCACAATTTGGTTAGATTTTTAGCCATGCTTGCAACAGGAATGGTAGTACTATTGTGTAGGTTGGTTTCTCACTTTGAACTCTTAACAACTGTTGGATGAATTATCATAAAATTTAGTCTACTGAATCCTATTAACTTTTGTGATGGCACCCCCTATCTCTACAGCTATTGATTGGATTGGCATGACGTTTGGTACAGATTCTGTCTAACTTTTAGTTTGTCCGAATATCTTTTTTAATGAATGACATACCCATCAGCCACTGCTGTACTTTGTGTTCAGGGTTAATTCACAAACGTTAGCATGCTTACACACAAAACCAAGACAGCGAACATGGCAAACATTATAACTGCTCATCATCTAAATGTTTGCATTGTCTTAGCATACTGGTGTGAGTTGTTGCACTTAAGTGAAGCCTCACAGAACTGTTTCAGCCCAATATAACCTGTTAGCCAGTTTTCTAGATGGTATAACCTTAGTCCTAATTCATTCTGGGGAGGTGTTGCTTACTTCAGTAAAACAGTTTGATGACAGTAAACTAGAGGAGAGAGAGATATGAGGAATGACATCTAACAAAGGTCCAAGGATGTTTGTGGTTCATTGTCGGTGAATTTCACTTGTTATTCAGACTCGTACATGAGCCAAATGTCCAGTTGATCATTGAAACTTCACTGCAGAATAATTAATAGGTTCCTATTTACTTACCGCATTACAAAAAGCAGGCTTGTGTCTCATTTGGCAATGTGATTTGTATTCATTTCCATGATTGTCCTTTTGTTTGTCTTTGAAAGTGCATTTTGACATTCAGATATCAGTTTTTGTTTTTTTTTTGTTATACAAACGTGATCCTCAAGAATGTTTCAGCTTCATGAACTATCTTGCTCTCTTTTCTCTCCTTTCTAGATGTGGACGAATGTGCAGAGGCACTTGACAACTGCAGCATCGATGCCATCTGCCAGAACACCCTGAAGTCATACAAATGTATCTGCAAGTCAGGCTATAAAGGAGATGGCAAGCATTGTGAAGGTAAGAGTCTAACCGCATTAATGTGCTCATTTTCACCTGTGGTTCTGGAGGCACGCACAGTCTCTGCTTCCTCCTGTGTGAGCATGAGGAGGATTTTTACAGTACATTGAATTCAAAGCCGCGTTTCTTGGGCTGATTTGCTGTACATCTCTGAAGGTAAGCCCCTGGGCCAATGACAGGCTTGATAAGAGTTTCTGTCTCAGTTAATGTAACTCATTGGCTTTAAGACTTTCCTGAAGAGGGAGGAGAGACACGGGAGAGAGCTGTGAATGGAGGAAGGGGAAAGCCAGGTGCAGAGTGGTCCTTTGTGACAAGATGAAATGAAGCAGTAAATTTCCTACACATGTTAGAGGAGAAAATTAAGATAGCGGCTGAAACGGCAGTCAGAGGCCCTGCCAAGCCGTCGGGGATATTTCCACAGCCAGAGGCAGGCCTCGTAGACTGTCAGACACAAGTCTGTTTTTCTAGCCTTTTTTCAATGTGCCCAAAGCCTCCGGATCATTATATCCCACAATTTTTATTACTATTATTACAAAACCATATTTCACAATGCCATTTTTTTCCCTTACTATTATTATTCTTTCATTTACTTGACCGAGTGCTTTTCATGGCCTTCTGCCTGTAGGTCATAAAAGTTTGCTTTATTGAATCTATTGTAAAATATGTGCAAGGTTGGGTTTCCATTGAACCGAAGGTTAGCTGATGGTTCCTCAAGGCTGATACACTTGTAAAACAAAATTCAAAAGAAGCATTCATAAAATAAGAAAAAACACAAAAGTGTTTTAGTAACTGGTGGTAACATTTAAGGCACATACTGTCTGGCTGCCCGCTGAATGTCACCTTTCACAAGTGCAGCGCTGCACCAGGCAAGACCTCTTTGTGTTAAGAAGGCGGCAGAAAGCATAAAGCAAGTTTCATGTTTACAAACTGCAGAGTTCTCGTGCTGGTCGACTGAATCCTCATTACCACTTGAACAGCTTCTACAAATGTGCTTTTGTGTACAGTTTGTGGTTCAGCACTGATATTTAGCTTTAGTGACGGCTCTAAAGGCTTGTTTCAATGTAAACTGAAGCTGTTGAGTTGGAGCAGGATTTGAAGATTCTTGTCCTTCAGTGTTTGGGTCTTAAGTTTTTCTGCGGGGCTTCACATGAAAAAACATAATATGTCCCTCTAAAATAATCAAATGACATGTTAATTGAATTTTTTAAGGTTACGTTCATTTTTTAAAATTATTAATTTCATTTTTTTTGTAATTAATTTTTGTTTTGAGTTAGACTTGATGAATTTGACTTTAGTTTATTTGTACCTTTTGAGTTGCTTTTCAGGTCAGCTTTTGTCAAATTTATTTATTTTTTTAAAGCATTTTCCGTCTTTCTGCTATCTATAGAATTCTAATCATGTGATTTTTAGATTTTTGTGTGTGGGGGCTACTTTTGTTTTCTTTATAAAAGACATTGTTGTGTTTGCTTTTATCGTTTAATATAGACACAATTTTGGAAATAAGTTCACAACACCTTGTACACAGCAATAGAAAGAAAGAATCATTAAAAACATATTGCCCCCCCTCCCAAAAAACAAAAACAAAACAAAAAAACAACAACACACATTTAAAATGCTAGAAGACTTACATTAAAAAACTGAAAATAGCAGGTAAAATCCTGATAATTTTACATTGACATTTGCTGACAAATATTGTAATGGTGAAACTTTTACATCAAACGTTGTAAAAAAAAAAAAAAAATTAATATTTGTAAAAATACAGATTTTTTTATGTAGACACTAGCACAGTTTTGGCCAGTTTTTGTTTGTTTTTTGTTGAAAAAAATATCTACCATTTTCCAGTTTTTCATATACCTTTTTATCTTCTTCAAATAACACATATCTGTAAAATAAGTAAATGTTTTTGCTGACTTAAATACAGTAAAAAAGGGGTAATTTATAAAGAAAAGAAAAGAAAAGAAATAGAAAAACTATTTGAAAAAATACACATTTTTGATCGTTAGTTGTTATCGGTTATTTAACAAAATGAGAAAAATCTTTAAAATGATAGTCATTTTTAAAAAATAACAAATTACCAACCAAAAAAACAGTTCAAAATGGTTATTTATTTTTTATTTTTTAAGGTGTATTCATGGAAAAGTCTCATTTAATCCAACCATAAAATATCACCTTTTTTGATTTTTTGGTTTTGAATGTTTTTATATGAACTACTTTTCAGAAGTGAGGTGAAAATGATTTGAAAAATAATGCCAAGGTTTTTTTTTTTTTTATTATTTAATGTCGTACAGAGTGCAGTAACCTATCCAATCTTTTCTTTAACAAGAGCACAGCTGTGCACTTGTATAAGGTTTTTTCCAGCTCCTTTTCAGGTAGTAGTTTTAAGCATCTTGGAGATCCTGCTGCAGTTTCTCTGTGGATTTGGACTGTCTCGGTGTCCTCTGTTTCCTAATGTAATCCAGACTGACTCCATGATGTTGAGATCAGGCCTCTGTGGGGAACAAGCCATTTGCTGCAGGACTCCTTGTTCTTCTTGCAGCAGAAGATAGCTCTTGGTGGAATCATTGTCTCGTGCTGCGGAATGAATCTGGCACCAATCAGATGTCTTCCCGATGGTACAGCATGATAAGACTAAACATCTAAAGTGTCTAAAACGCACACAACAATGCGTATACATCCACATCTTGCGGATACAAAGGGACAAAACTTTGGAGTTGATGTTGTTGGACGTGACAAGCATTGAATAAAAACAAATTCAAAGCAAGTGGAGGAGAATCAATATTGTATTAACATGTGGTGGGTGTTTGAGGTTTAGAGCAGAGTAGAAAAGTGATGGGTGATTGTGTGCTGTGATCGGGGAATGACAGAGATGTGTGGGAAGTGAATAAGCAGGGAGCAGGAGAGTGTTTCTTTGTTTCAGTCCCATCCCTCTGCTGTCAAGTCCAATTAAGCCCTGAGAGAGTCGGCCTCAAAGAGGAGCTGAGCAACCGGGATCATCGGCCCTAAATGGGCCAGTAAGTGCTGAGTGGAAGTACTCTGTGTTCTCAGTCCACCTCGTCTAGGTCTCCTCAGTATGGGCCCCTCAACCATCATCATAACCATAAAAGACAACCCCACTTAGGCTGTCATACTGGTCTACAGTCTCTTTTTATCTTTCTGCCTCCACTCTCTCATTTATGTGTCACATTTCCACAGTTTTAACAACTAGGACTGAACTTTAGGCTTCAATCGATACATTGGTCTAATGGTCAATATCTGCATTTTATTAGGTATCGACTACCAATCCATCTGTGATGTCAGTAATGTCAATAATGTCAGCGCTAATTTATTCGTGATTCCTTTCTGATGACATACGTGCACATAAAATAATTTACTCAAACAATTTAATTTCCTTTTTAAAACTTCTTGGCCATGTATGTGCTTTGTTTTAATAGCTGCATATTTTGCCACTGACTTTATTCCCCTGGTCATGGTAGAAAGGTTTTTAGTGTCCCGTAGTGAACAAAATGCTGTTGACACTTTAACATTGTGCCAACAGTAAAATTCCAAGGGGAAAAAGCAATGTCTTGGCATGAAACTGGTCGAATTTTAGGATATTAAGTATGGCATAAAAATCCTGGCAATCAGTTATAGGCTTTAAAAGCAAAACCAATATCAGTAAAACTGTGGCATGTACCCAAGTTACATCAGTAGCAGGTGAATCAACTAATTACCACAGCTGTTGCCTCATCCATGTTTATCTCATAAGTACTCTTATGAAAGTAGAGGTGGAACAAAACAGATCATTTAAGCTCTCTAAAACTTAATTGCATAATTATGGCTTAATTATATGCACATATTTTAAAGGAAACGTTCATCATTTTTGAGAAATATGAAGCTACAGCCAGGAGATGGTTAGTTTTTCTGAGCACAAAGACAGGAACGGCATCTGCCAACATGTCTACAGCTTACAATGCAACATATTGCATCTTGTTTGTTTAATCTGCACAAAAAAATAGAAAAATAAAAACTCTTGTGACAGCTTGTGGTTTTGTTGGAGTCTATATTTAGACCTGTTCCCTGGCCGGGCATTCTTTCTTGGTCTACCTGGAGTCGTCAGGGTGAGGTTGCCACTGCTCTGCCCTGCACGTTACTCATCATTTCACATTTTACATTTTTAACAGTTTCTACAAACAAGACATAAATAGTGTGCTTTCGATGTGTTGGTTAGCAGATTGTGTTACCTTTTGACAGAACCTCTAAACGCTTGAAGTTTCCCCATTTTCAGTCTTTATAATAAATCTACCAACTTCATATTTAACTCTCTGAAGCCCAAAACTTGATATTAGGTTTGAAAGACATGCCATTTTGAAAAATGCCAAAATGGTACTATTTATCAGAGCCAGAAACTATAAGAACTAGTGATGCACGATATTAAAATGTATCCCATATTGATATTTCTGATATTGCTGATAACCGATATTACCGATGTTGATATTCAATTTTTATTTACACCGAAAACTGAGTACAAGTAAGCACTGTGAGAACATGAAAACTATTCAAAAGAAGCCCATACCACATTAGACCACATAGCCTTTGTTATTACATAAGAAAGGTAAAACATTATTGAATTGTTCTTTTTTGACATATTTAACATTCATGTCCAGGACCATTTAAGTAAAAACATCTGTGAAATAGCAGCAATATCAAATGTAGAGACAAAGGCACTAATGTTTGACAATCATCGGTTTTTCACATCGGCTAAATTAGTTCATTGGACCGATGTATCAGAAAAAAACACTAATATTGGCCGATACCGATGTGGTCGCCGATATATCGCTCATCCCTAGTAAGAACTTTCCAACAGCCCTTGGGCTAGTCATCTGTGATGTAAAGCTCAGTTGGAAAAATTGTGATATTCCATCTAAATGGTTTATTCCACATGTTTCTTTTAAATATCCACTAAAAATAAAATGTTTGAACCGACCAGATTAAACCGACAATAAAATAATTCTGCTCTCTTTGGCACAATCATGAAGCCATTACAAACTCAACTGTGACCAACAGTCATGTGACAAAGTTATAATGATTTCTCGGCTGAACTGCAGGCCGTGCTTACACAGCAGAGAGGAGACAATTACGGATCAAATCAGAATTGGAAGTGGTAAAATATCTGTATTATGTAGACTCAGCATTGTCTTCCAATATTGGGAAAAGGTGGCAGCACTCGATAAACATAAAGAAATTCAACTTTAGTTCGTTTTTTTTGTTTTTTTTTATGATTTATGGCATTGTAACTTTGTTTCACTGCACGAAAGACAATTTAGAGTTTTTTCTACTTCTAGCCATGCTTGTGCTGTTTCCACAAAGGTGCAGGACTTTATATTGCAGTAAAAAATGAGCCCACAATGAGGAAAAATGTGACAGGAGCAAAATAAACACCCTAATTCTGTTTGGAACTCATGATATTAAGGCACAAATACAGGAGTGGTGTCATTTTTCAGTCTCTGCAAAAAAAAAGATTAGCGTTGTTTCCAAAATGTTGAACTATTCCTTTAAGGCTGTTCGTGCTTGCTAAATCCTAAGTGGTTCTTGATCGCTTCAAGTTACTAAAGTGCATTTTCTCACATCCGTGTTTATCTTCTCACTGCAGATGTTGATGAGTGTGCGACTGATTACAACGGCGGCTGTGTCCACGAGTGCATCAACATCCCGGGAAATTACAGGTGCACATGCTACGATGGATTCCGCTTGGCACATGATGGACACAACTGTCTAGGTGAGTGTATGATATGTGTGTGGTTGAGTGTACTTGCAGCTTCAGTGCAAGTTAAACCAAATTTTCGCACCAGCTCACTCAATTATGTAGGTGAACGTTGTTGTATAAGGGGCTTTTGTCAGGTGAACACATACAGTATATATTAGACTGCATGTGTCACATTTTAAACCCAGCCTGACATGTGCACGCATAAATCCTTCTCTCTGCATGTCTAATATCGCGTCATGCATGGTAATATATGTTTAAAGGCTGAACTGAGCTCTCATTGGACTGCTGCATCAGATATTAGCCGTTTCCTCGTGCACATAGCAGGTAGTCTCCATATGTGTTTTCAGAAAAGGAAAACGGAGCCCTTTTTTATATAATAACTCTGATGAAAAGAGGGAAATTTATGAAGAGCTTGACCCTGAGCCTGGAGCTCCGAGTGAGCCGTCAGTCGACGTGCTTTCCCATGGTTTAATATTTCACCAGTGTGCCATTCATATTAGGCTCACAGAGGACGCATTACACTTAAAAGGTTATGAAATGAAGGAAAATATGGTGCTCTTCCTGCTGCTGGAAGCTGCTAAACACAGACATCATCTGCCCACCCCCCTCCTCCCGTCTTTCTGTCGTGCTTCTTCTTCCCCCATCCACCCACCCTACATTCCTTTTGTTTTGTTTTGAAACCCCCAAGTCAGACCCCTGCATTTCACTTGATATTAAAAGACCCTGGTAGCTGCTGTGAGTTTGTTGTGGAGGAAAAGTAAGACGTGACTTGCTACAGCGGATTTCACATTCAGGTGAAGTGATGACAGAAAAACTTATCAGTACTTAACAATGATTCACTGTGAAAGGGCCTTTACATGCAGGCACAAGGCAACACTCCTATCAATCCCACATTTACTTGATGAATTGCATGTAATGCTGGGATTAAGCTACCCTGGAATGGAAAACACTCACATCTTTATATCGATAATAAACCTGTTCTGACTTGACGATGCTCCTGCGACTCTCTGTCTCTTTTAGCCTCGCTGTGTTTCTGTCTTTCTCTTCTTCTCTTCCCCTCACTGTCTGCCTCTTCATCGCTTGCTGTATCTACAGTGTAAAGCAGGGCTATTTTCCAAGCCATTTAGCAACGGCGTTCAGCTGTGCATGGATCATTTGCTGTGCCGTGGATCAGCTCCTGCCTTGCATGCAGGTGTGTAATTGCAATATATGGTTGTGTGGCTGCTGCTATTGCATCAAACAGAGTTGCATCCATCGATCGCTTTGATATAATTTGTCATAGTGAAACACACACGATCAAACACAGAGCGAGCTTTCAAGTTTTTTTTTCTTCGCCTGACATGTTTTATTTTTTCTCCAAAGTGACTTTTATGCAAGATGGCAGAGACCTCTTTGGACAACTTGAGTTCTGTCTCAGGAATTCTCTTATACTCCTGTGAAGATATTGATCCAATACATTATTAAATAAGTAAACATTTTTTTCAACAGCAGTACAGCAAACAGGGATTGAAGACGCAGTGAAGAGTATATATGCAGCTGTCAAGTACAAATCTCAACTCTTGCCTTGAGACCTGAAAGCACTAAAGACCTCTTTTTCTTGAGAATTTAATTCATTCTAATACCCCTGCTCTGCTCTGCTAAGGGAATAATCCTCAGCACAAACACAAGGGAGGAAAGGAAGAGGTATAGCAGCGGTTTCATGTTAAGGCCCCAGCTTCCTCTTCCAGGTTTAAGCTCCTTTTGGCCCCTGAGAAAAGATTAGTCCCCCTTGGCCCTGGAATGGAGAGCCTAAGCAGCTGGTTTCCAGACGAGGTCAGACCCTCAGAGCCCTTATAGACCAGATGTGCCCAAGGCAGCAGAGAAGGAGATGTTCACCTGATCCTCAGAAGTTCACAGTGAGTTTAGAGTCTGAGATCTTTAAGGTGCTTCTCTTTGAATTTACCTCGTGTTGTTCTTCCACAAAGCTCCAGTGATTTAGTTTGATTTTTCATGCTTACATCACATCGCGGTGTACATAACTTCCTTATTTCATCCCTCCGAGGCTCCTCTTCATTGTGCGACTGTCACCTCAGGGACGCGAGTTAGACCAGCGCACACGCACCCCTGTCAATGTCCTCTTTGTTTGCTCACCGCCGCACGTGCCACACAGCTCCTTGTAATTGAATGTCTTGGCAGCATAATGACATTGGGCGGTGGCAGAAGGCAGCGGAGCGTGAAGCAGAACACTGCCTGGTGTGCCTCGCTGGGGACGCTCTAGTTTCTGAGGTCTCCCCTGTCTGCCCTAAAACCCCACAAAGATGTCAGAAAGTCAGCAAGGTGGAAGCAATGCAATATCACAGCACGCTGCCCCAGTCTGCACCGAGTGAGATGTCGCTCACTGTATAATTTACCTCACACGGGGCTATTGTATCTTCTCAAAGCTCACCGAGAGAAGAAGTGAAGCATATAAGAACTTGATTACATCTTTTATAACTGTCACGTCTGTTATCTCGCGGAGGTGAGGGCGGGATGGGATTTAATCACCACACCTCCTTCATGGCGAGGCTGTAAAGGATTTTTTGGAGTCTGAGGAAAAACAGAGGAATCAGTGTCAATTTAATCCAAAACACACATCCTCTTTACAATGAAAACCAGATGCAGGAAGGCTATTAGTTCCCCACTGTAGCACCAGCGTCCCCACATTTATGACCTGTGTGTTTTGGTTAAGGTCCTACAGAAACCCAAATACACGCTTATCATTGTGAGTTCGTTAAACTCTCTCAAGTAGCTTAATATCATAAGCATCTGCGCAAATACTCCCTTTCCTTGCAACCGCAAATGATAACATTTCACTTCTATCTGGAGCTCAAAGACAAATAAAGATATTTCTTGTGTTATCATAAGTAGAAATGCCACAATCGCATGCACCCCGAGTGTGACTTTGTGCAAGAAACAAATGCAGGCTTGAAATAGACATTACAGATGTTTGACAGAGCACCACCAAGCTGCAGAGGGATACGCTTTTGTCATCGCATTGTTTTCTTATATTCATCATTCTGCCATTTAGGACATGTGGCTCCCTGTTGCCGGAGAACTGATGTGGGCCTCCACATACTCCACACACACAGCTTAGCAGGCCCACGTTCCTTTGATTCCTATTGACCAACACTGATTTGGTTTATATTGATTCAGCAGAGCTCAATTCCCTTTGCAATCTATAGGGAAATGAATGCCCTTTTACTTTAACCTTCCCCAAAGACGTAACATGATCTATAACACAAAAGCAATGTCATTATAGCTTTGGAAAGGGCTTTTGGAGAACAGCTTTGAAGTAGCAACTCAGAAAAGGTCAAGTCGGTTAACACTGTTTAGTGTTTTGCTAGTGGCTGTAATTGTATAGAGACTTTTTTTTTTTCTTTTTTTTTGCCAGTGACATTGAGGATGTCCATCAGTCTTTTGATAGAGATACTTCCTCTGTCAACTAACACAGGCTCTGAGTCACTGCTCTTGTCATCCTCCGGTATCATATTGTAAGGTTGACTAATCAAACAGGAGGTTTCAGACTGATGTATTATTGACCAGGTTCTGATGGGAAACAGTAGTCATCAAAGACCTTCACGCTGATTTGCCCTGCAGCCTTTCAACTGCGTTTCTTTTAAGTGTATTGGCTGCTCTACCAAGGCAGTGAAGATAACCTCTGCACCCCCCAGAATATATTTGATTCTAGCTTGGATGATGTGCCTCTTGCTACCACTTTTAACTTCTGAATGTGAAGGATTTGAGCCGGGGCACTGGTGATCTGGTTAACACCTCTCCCATTATACCCTGAGGGGTTCAGGGCGGCACAGACACCACTGGGGCTTAGCGCTAACCCCCCTTGCTTTCCTGCTGCAGATGCAAACACCCGGCTTTCTCCCCAGTGAGCGGTCGCTTTTGCTTTTGTTGTGACATGCACAGATCGGGTTTGGACAAGAGAATCTCTCAATAGCTTAGAGGAGAGGAGCTGGAGTGATGAGTTAAAGGATAGATTTAGGATTGGTGCATTAGTTGGCTCCTGAAGACTATCAGCTCTCTCTCTGCTGCTCTTCTCTCAGGATTCTTCAGTCCCATCCACCATGAAATGAACAATTCCAGCAGAGCCCACTGGCAGGGCTTTTGGGGGAAACTCAAGCCTGAGATTGGGCTTAGGGATGTAAGCAAGTAGCAGACTGGGAGCCGTCAGACGTCAGTGTTGGGCGTCTTGTCTCCCCGGCGTAGCACTGTCCACCCAAACACTTATCCTGGGGTTCTGTTGTTAAAATACTTCCAGACTCGTTTTGGAGGAACAGAGGAATACCATTTAGCATGATCTTAGCTCATAGTTTTTCATTTAGGAAAGAACTTAGTGAGAGATTGGACCTAGAATCGAAGTCTGTGCTTATTTACCAAAAATGGTTACCTGGGAGACCGTCCCAAAGTCAAGAGTCTGAGTTCAATCAAAGCTGTATTAGTTTTGTGTATGTAACAGCATAAAAATCAAGCCTTGCTGCTGATTTAGAAATGAAATGCTACAGTAAACAGAGATTTTTATTTGTGCTTGCGGAGCAGATGTGAATCGGTGAGCTGTATTGAAACAGTGGGTCAGGCAGACAGGAAGCGCTGGAACTAATAAATTGTTCAAAGCTAAATACTGTAAGTGACTAAGACTTCCCGCTTGCAATAGTCAACCACACTTCTAATGATTTAAGAGAGTGTGTGTTCTACAGATGAAAGATCAGGACTTCCTGCAACACATCAATTCATACAAACTGAGCTGACAGGTGAGATCAGAGCGAGGCTGCATGTTTGTTAACATAAAGCCAGTTTCAGCATCTGTGCAATCAGTTCAAAACTGACATTGCGGTCACTGTTCAGTCAAGTGGGAGCAGAAATGTGCCGCTGAGCTGCAGGAGCGGACTCAGAAAAAGAGGAAATCCTGTAATCCAGTTTAAAATAAGAAAGGATCTTGTTTTAATTGGAGCTGGCTGTGTATGTGCCACTACTTCCCACTGATGCTCAGTCGAGCCACGCTGATGCCTGTTCGTCTACCAGAACAGCTCAGTCCCCCCACCCCCCCCGCAGCTATTTTGCTGCCTGTCGCTGCACATGGCTCCGTTTTGCAGCCTTATTAAAGCATGTGTGCCTCTTCAACTCCTGTAAATGAAATGCCCAAAGAGGCCAGTGTCCGTCCACTCACCTCCTTGTCTCTGGTCTGTCTAGACCACAGAGACAGTTCTGTCTGGTCCAGACAGAAACCAAGAGATGGACACATGGACAGCTTTGATGACAAATAGCTTCAGTGTCTCACTATCGCTCCTAGCTACAAAACAACGACAGAAAAGTCTTGGCCAGCAATAAATGGCCCTTGAAGTTGCTGAACCTTTAAAAGAAACGAAAGCATTTCTCCAAAATAAGGGTTCAGGAGTTTCTGTAAGGCAACCACCGTGTTTACATGGCTCTAAAGCTCTGCGCAAGGCCAAATGTTATATATACAGTCAAGGCTATCTGAGAAACCAGCGGACATGGCCTCCGCAAACACAACCAATCTCTTAATCTCTCTCCGTTTGAACCCTCCTTTTCCCTTCGTCTCCTAAAGTGAAGCAGGGATAGAGCAGAGACATGTCTCATTTTTCAGAAGTGAGGCAGCCCTTTTAACTTGATTAAGACTTTTTTTTCTTTCCGTCCTCTCTAGAGAATTTTTAAAAAATGTTTTAAGTCCAAATAACATGAGCACTTCTCCTGGCCATGCCAGAACCCCTTTCCGCTTGGAAATATTTGCTTTGGACGCCAGCCTTGCCCAGCACACAACACAGGCAATTATGGGAGCTATTTAAACAGGACAGATCTACTGACAGGCGACGCCTCATTTGGAAGGATGAAGGAATCAGGAAATGAAACCTTTATTGATGCGCTGATGGTATGGAAAGAGAATTCCCTCGGGCACTTTGAGGTTTGTTGCATATCTCATGGGCATTTTCTGCATGCTTTGAGAACTCTTGTTTGTGTGGCCTTTGCATGTTTAAATTTTTGGGGTTTGAGTGTGTTAAAGAGAGGAGAGGAGAGGGAAGGGCACAGAATAAGAGAGAGATTTTTACGTGTTTGTTGGGATGTTTTCCTCTGAGTTGTGGAGGTTTTTGGTAACAGTTTATCTGCAAAGGTGCAGCTGGAGGTTGCTGGCAGCTTTCTTCAGCTCAAAGGTGTTTTCTCTGTTGCTGCCACTTTCATGATGGAGAGATGAGAGCATGAGGTCAACACCAACCATCCACACAGCTGATTGAAAGCCTGGCCAACTCTTTTTCCCAAATTGTCCTTCCTTTACTCAGACTTTAAATTGTTAACTTTGCTGGACAGCTTTTTTTTTTTCTCAGAGGCCTGTGCTTCACCTGGTTGCAGAGTGATGCTTTTCCCATCAACTTCAACTGACATGACACTTTGTTTTTAGTGGAAAGAGACAGTTTTGCTGATGGAATGTGAGAATAGGAAAGCGGACTTGGCAAGCTGACGAGGGTCATGAGTGCTACCTGCCACTGACCTACTTATCAACCCAAGAGGCTTCTGTCTAGTCAGGTGCCACTCTGTGAGTGCACTTTGTGTGTGTTTATGCATTGGTGTATTCACATGTCTGTGAATTTCAGTATGGAAAAAGATGAAAGAAGAGCACAGAGTGAAGTTTAATTTCTAACTCTGCTCGGGTTGAGAATTCCCTAGAAAGGAAACTTAATCTAGAGGCTTCTCAGACTGGACAAATAGACAGTAAATTAGTTTCGCATGACAGTTTATTAAAAAAAAAAAAAAAAAAAGAAAAGAAAAGCCTTGTGTATACAGCAGATTATTAATGCTTCGAGCAGAGGGATGGATAAGGTTCCAGTGTGGTTGGTAGGAAGGGACGAGGAGCCCAGGTCTCCAGGGGTAGAAAGAAAATGGAGTGTCATCTCCAGGGCTGCACCTAAGTCATGCACAGGAGAGACTGGTGTGCCAAGCTCTGTTTCATGCCAGACAAGTAAAAGCTGCAGAAGAAGCACACTATGCAAGGTCTTTCATACTGAAAATAAATGAAGAAATCAAAAGATTAACAGAAACTCCACCACAGTTTGTTTCTGTCGCGCCGAGTGACACAGTGAGTTGGGTCGGAAAAACTTTTGTGCTATTCAGAGAGAACAGCTGGAAGAACGCAAGTCATTAACAGTGGAAATGAAGTCAGCGACTCTCGTTTGTGGTCAGTTTTTCTTTGTTGCTCTGTGGCAGAACAAGGCCTCAGGCGACACCTCACCAAATGCTCTACCTTTGTATGCACTTGAGGTGGCGTGCCAGCCCCCCCCCCCGGAAAAAAAAAGGCTCTCTCCTCTTTCCATCTCTACTTTTTCCTTTCCCTCCTCCCTCCCTCTCCCTGCATTCCTCCTGTCATGGGGCTGACAGACACTCGTCATCAGCAGGTACTCTGGCCCAGGTGGATCAGGTTTCCCACTTGCCAGGGGATTATGCTGCATGTGCATTTTTATGGCTTAGTGCTGCACAGTTGGAGGTTTTCAGTGCAACTCTGGTGTGCTGCCATGTCAGATAACCATTAAGACAGACACGACCTCCTCAGACAGCTTAAGACAAACTTCTCTGGTTATTTAGTATATCCAAACAAGTTTTTTTGTGCCTCGTGCTTTCTCTTTGTCTGACATTTGCACTCAAACCACAGCTTCCGTCTGTTCTGTCTGCTCGGAGGGACTTGTTTGAAATGATTTTACATCACATTATATTTCTGAAGAAACTGTTAAGAATTTATCACTTTTATACCAATGTGGTAATATTGGAACTTTAAGATGTTGGTGGAGCAAACTTTTATTTATATACTGATATCAGTTCAGCTTCAGATAAACGTTTTACACAAAGCATGGCGAGTTTGGTCAGCTGGTCATTCAACCCAGTCTCACGGCAATTTGTAAAACAGTCACGAAATTTAATCTATTGTTTTGTGTCCTGGTCCACGATTTGCCCGACTTTTTTGTGTTCCCGAGCATGAATTTGAAACCAATTGTTGTTGGTTTCGTGCTGGGGAACACGAAAAAGTCGGGTTCAGTGTCTTGCCCAGGGACACTTCGACTGTGGAGGGGGCAGGGATTGAACCACCAACCTTATGGTCAGAGGACAACCGCTCTACCACCTGAGCCACAGCCGCCCAAATGCTAAACATATTACATAAATATAAACATAAAAGTTAGCCAGTACATTACCAATGTCACTGTGGGCATGTTAGCATTTTGCTCAAAGAACTTCTGTGCCGCAGTTACAGTCTCCTGGAGCATGATTGTTAACTTTTTTACATAATTTAAAACAAAAGAGTCTATTAATTTTTGTGCCAAATGACAAGGAGTGAGGCTATAGACTGTTTTTTTCTTATTTTGTGAAAAATACAGTGTTGGTTTGTTAATTTTCTAGATATAGATATTCTGCTGTAATTGAGTAAAATGTTAATAACTTTATTTTTACTGAGTTTTACTTTGAAATGGATCTTTTTTTTTTTTTTTGCACTCCTGTCCTTCATGTCTGATTCAGATTGGCTTGTCCAATAAATGGGTCATGATTTGATCCCAGAAAACCGTCAGACAAGCATTAATCCGTGTGATGTTTGTTCTGTCTTGAACTGCTCTTATTAATTTCTCTTTGTGCGCATCTCCTGGCAGATGTGGACGAGTGCTCCGAAGGCAACGGTGGATGCCAGCAGATCTGTGTCAACATGATGGGCAGCTACGAGTGTCGCTGCAGAGAAGGATTCCTCCTGAGTGACAACCAGCACACCTGCATCCAAAGACCTAAAGGTTACTCACACACAGACGCACACAGACGTCAATGATGGTGACTTATGGAAAACAGCAGGAAACATGTTGTTCAGTGGCGGGGTATATGACTTCAGGTTGGAAATTATGTGGTGAACGCTCTTTCTAAAGAATATTTAGATGACGCCACTTTTAAGCCCTTTGTAAAATGCAAATGTTCAGATCAGGCTATTTTTTTAATAATATGATGAGATTTAAACTGAGAATGGGATCAGCCCCAACAGGCCTAAATGAAAGGTGAAAAAAGGTAAGTCTCCAGTCTGAAGGGGGGGAAAAAGAACAGGGATAAATCTCTTTTTGTTTTCCACCCACCCTTTTAAATTGAACCAATCTAGTGCTTGGCAGCATTTTAAGGTATCTGTGGTATGAGAGTGGCCTACGGGGGGCTGTGAGCAGAGAAAACAATTAAAGGTGTAGCCTGGGGCCGACACACCTCTTGTTTATAGAGCGTTCCTGTGGGATGGAGACGTGACAGGAGAAGAAGAGCCAACTTGCTCTGAGGCTGACTCACTGAATCACAGGAGCGCCACGGACATGCAACATTTATAACGTCATAGCTGTATTTAAAGCAATGTTAGCTTTCAGAACATGTGCATCCTGTCTAGTCGCAATTTTCTTCAGTGACCAAGTCTGTTAAACACTGTGGTTGTAGTTTGTGAAAGATTCATTGTTGTTTGTTAAACTCTCACGAAGTGTCTTATGTAAGGGTTTGCTGCATTTTTTATACTATTTAATACCATTTTACAAAACTGTTGATTTATGTTTATGCTGGTTTTAACAGTTTTTCTTTCCTTTTGGACAGCTGTGAATTCTTCTGGCTGCAGAATTTTATTTGCTGTCACCAGAAGCTTTTGATAGTAGTGCAAAAACATAATATTCTTGGCTTGAGTTTTCCTGATGAAAACCCCGTCACATAGATATTAAAGCCAATTACAATGCCTGTAACATTGAAATGGTAAAACCGTGTGGATGACAAATTAAAGGAAAAACATGAATTTATGACCCCCTACACTGAGGGGATCAAACATGTTCTAAGTGATCACTTTTATCCTATGATGAAAAACTCCAATCCTATTGGGAGTGGTTTCTTTCAGGATGACAAAGCCTCCATCCACAGGGCATCGGGACCTTTGATGAGTATGAAACTGCTGTGTATCATGTGCTATGGCCTTCGCAGTCACCAGATCTCAATCAAATTTTACACCTATTGGAGATTTTGCACCAAAATGTTAGACAGTGCTCTCCAGCAACATAAAAACACTACATGAGGGAATATTTTATCTGTTCAGTTGAAGAATCAATTCCAAGGTGCACAGAAACTGTTCTGGTGACACCTTGCTAAGGCACATTATATTGGTTTCTCCTTTAATTTGTCTGTATATTAATTATTGTGGCTAATAAGCTTAGTTTTGCATTTTAAGAGGCTCTAACTAACCACATTTAAAATTGTGACATCTTTGTGCATCTTGTCAGTGCCTCTTGTTGGGTGTTTTCCAGAGCAAATGTTGTTAGGAACATCAGTATCCACGGTGAGGTGCTGTCATAATAAGCATGTAAAAGTCATTTGGACATCCAAGAATGTTGGAGCCCACACACTACACTAGTATCTATTAGCAAACAGTTGGTGATTTAACCTGTTTGCCTCTTGGTAACATTAAACAAGCAAGTAAGCTGAACTCCCACTTGGAAAGTAGAAGCAGCAACTTGCCACTTTATAGTCTCATATTGTGCCACTATTCAGCAAATCAATCAAAATCTCACATGTCCCCACAGTGTGTCCTTTCAGTTTTTCAACTCAGAATAATGCAAAGGTGGTTCACTTCAACATGACTGTGTAAAACCTCGTTTAAGGGCTTTTATAAACAGGCTGTTTTGCTCTGACAACCAATAATGGAATGGCAGAAGTAAACTTTTTATATGGTAACAGCTTTTATTTTATACCTCCAAGTTTATAACATGCACAAAACACAATAATGACACAATAATTGACCATGTGGTACCTTTTTAAACAGTTCTCAATAGGAATCTATAAAAGACTCCTGTTTCGCCAAAGATGGCAGTTGCATGGCACATGCCTTGCCTCAACCTCTGTTGTTTGCTTTGTAACAGCTGAACCAGGAAACATCCCACGAACCGTGTTGTTGCAGGGACACAAGAGCAGTGTAGTCAATCTGTGCACACATGTAGTCAAAGTATAACCTGTGGGGAAAAAGCTTTTAAACCTTATTTCGTCACAAACTCACTAAATCTTTTGAAATGTGTTTTAATCCGATTTACTGGCGATTCTATGCATGCAGTTTTTGTGTCAAGATGACACTTGACTTTGCAGTCATGGTTCCAAATAAGGGCCTGGTCTTGTTTGCTCAAAATAACCACCTTGGGGGGGTATGTTGTCAAGATGGCTGCCAAGTAGTGAGACGTGCCTTGTTCTTCTCCATTGTGTGTTTCACAGCCCACGCAGCCTCTGTTCTTTATTTGATAGATTTCTTCATAGCTCTGTAAAGAAACATCCGATAAAATTAACAGTTGTTATCACTGCCACAAAGCACATTTATTCAATGAGTAATTATCCAGCTGTCTTCAGATTCTTCAGCTCTGCCAGATATGGGCTGGGTCTGTGTTGTGAATCTTCTCTGTTGGCTTGTTGGCTTTGCAGCTCTCATTCAGAAAGCTCAGACAACATGCACAGCAGGATCCGAGCGTCTCTTCATATCTGCCCTCCTCGCTTCTTTTGTCTTTTCTGAGATAAGTGCTCGTGCTGGGAGTCATTAGATTGTGATGTTCCTAATTTCCCTGGATGGTGAAATGAGGATCTTGGAAGTCTGGTTTATGAGATCAGTCTGGCCTAGTGAACTGTCAGTGTTTACATTTCATAAACGCAGTGTTTTTTGAGTGGAGTGAAAAGCCGGATCATGTGTTTCAAAGCCCTACTACTATATCTGTGCTGTCATGAACAGACAGAGCACCGGTCCGATCTCACCGAGCTCCCCGTCTCTCTTTCATTTTGTCCTTCTTTCTTGATAAATGTCCACAGTTCCTGTTAATCTTCCATTTTGATATTAATTTTGTCTTTATTGCTTCCAGATGAGGCCCATTTGGATCAAGAGATTAAAGCCGCCATAAATCTACAGACTTCCTTCAGTCATCCGATAGTCACCCTGTCATTGTTTCATTATTTGCAAAAGACACAGACAGAACAACTACTCATCTGCTTATTATTACTGCTCTTATTACAACAGTGTGTGTCTGACTGAAAAATGGAAGCGGCGAGGAAGTGACTTTGCCGAGTTGTTGGGCAACAGCGCTGCAAAGAGCTGCCGCAAATATCACTCTGCTCCCTCACTGAAAAATGATGCACAAGTGGCAAAGAAAAAAAGATCATTGAGAAAATGAAAGCTGATTTAATCTCCTGGCCAAGTCAGTTTAAATGCAGCCCTCCATCCATTCTGCCAGCCCTCCTCTTAAAGAGCAAAGCCTGGGGTGCAGTTTGCTCATGAGCTTTATTGTTCTCATTAAAAAGACATCAGCTCTCCATTTCTTTCATTAATGGGTCAGGTGTGCCCTGGACAACTTCTACCGCTCCTTTCTGGGGACAGTGGCGAGCTGGTCACTGCGGTGCCTGGCGCTACCAGTCTGTTTCCCCTGCTGGTAGCAAGCCCTTGTTAGCAGTGAGTCTGTGCCAATTAGACAGCAGGGGTCTGCCAGCCTCTCAGCTAATGACAAGGCTGCTGCTGGCCTGTCTCTTATTAGACCTGCCCCTGCCCCCCACAGCAGGAATAACTTTGGCCAAATGAAGGCTCCATCGTCGAGCTGGCCAAAATGTAACAGTTCATTTATTCTCCCCAAACATTTCTTCCAGTCAAGGAATAAAGCCTTTCAAAGGGCAGCCAAGGTTCTTAGTGGTTGATAGGAATGCCATTTAGGTCAAGAAGGGTTCTACTCCTTTGCGTTTGATTTATTATCTCTTTTATATAGGAGGAAGACGGGGATGTATGTGCGTGAGACGGGATCCAGCACATTGGAATTCAGGAATTTCAGGCTCAGTCAACCCACACATCCATAATTTCAGTCCGGTGCATTTTTGAATATCCGGTCAGGCAATTACATTAAGTGTGCACTGATGGTGCGGTTATGTAAGTCACATATAGTGACTTATGTATTCAGTCCATTTGTTTTCACTTCAGAATACATAAAACACAACTACATGATTTGAAAGTCGAATCATCCGCTGTGCAGAATTTACTGTGAGGCAGTGCAAGGACCATGTTGAACTTGCACAAGTTTAAAGGGGAGATGTAACTTATAACAAGAAGTTGAATCCTCTTAATCAAACTTCCGGTCACTGCCAATCAATAAGTGTGGCTGGCATTGTGGAGGAAGCTGCAGAATTGCTGCAAGGAGTCTAGAAGTTCATGCCAGCCTGATGATTACATTACAAAGTGTCCACATCTCATTGCAGAGAAAAATTTGATTACACAAGCCCCGAGGCTTCACTGTCACCTTCCACTGCTGCAGGAGTCTGTAATAGGCCTTTGCACTTAAGTCTTTAAAGTGCACAATCAGAAACAGATGAACAAGCAGAGTGTGCAGTCAAGAAGGAAGTGTAACTTGTAAAAATATATCTTGTATCAACAGAAAAGTGATGGATATTGAAAAGAATATGGCCCTCTGCAAAGCAGTACTTTTCTTCTTATGTGAAATTGTGTTTACCAAAGCAACATTTCCATATTAGAAAACATAATAGAACCATTTCCTCCAAAAATTAGCCTCATTGTCTCTTATCAGCCATCTGCTTGTGGATGCAAGTGTGGCTTTTTTCCGTACAGTAGACCTTTTCTTTCCAGGAAATGTTTACTTTGTCAGTGCAAACCTCTTCCTATGTTTACAACTTTCATTAGCTTCCCAAAGGGCTTGTTACCCCGTGTGCAGCTAATCTCTCCCTCGCTCTCTCTTTCTCCAAGTCAAATATGAACACAATGGAC